TGTCATCTCGGAAAGGGACAGGATGGAATTGAGGGTCCTGGTGGGAGCCCTGGCCCTCACCAGCTGCGTGACCCGAGCCACGTTCCGCCCCCTCTCTGGGCCTCAGTTTCCCCGTGTGTACCAAGAGGCTGTGTAAGCTCTGAAGCCCAGCTCTGCCGCTGCTGCCCACTNTAGGATGGGTCCCTTCGCTCCCCCCCAGGCCATCCGAGCCATTAACCCCGGCAGCGATTCGACCATGACCGCGGAGGAGTTCACGGACACCGTGTTCGCCAAGATCGATGTCAACGGGGACGGTGAGAGGCCCGCGAGGGGATCACCAAGGGAGGGGGCTCACCAGGGTGTAGGGTCCCAGACACCGCTGGATTTTAGGGATTCCTGGACGAGACCTTTGGCCTCTGGCTCCTTTGCCTGCCCCCCTCACAGCCACTTCCCCCAGCCCTGGCCTTGTCCCTGTCCCAAGACTCCAGCTCTGGGCCCTGGTACCAAGGAGAGGGGAACACCTCCGCCCCATGACTCCCTTTCTCTGCCAGGGGAGCTGTCCCTGGAGGAGTTCATGGAGGGCGTCCAGAAGGACCAGATGCTCCTGGACACGCTGACCCGAAGCCTGGACCTCACCAGCATTGTGCGCAGGCTCCAGAGTGGAGAGCAAGACCAGGAGGGGGCCGGGGCGCCTGAGGCCGCCGGCTGACCCCGCCGCCAGATGCCTCTGTGCTGGGAGAGGGTGTGTGGCCCTGCTGGTGTTGCCATTGTTGTTTTTATTCTAGATCGAGTCTACTGAACTCAACGCTCAGCTCGCCTCTTTGGGCTGCAGGGTGGTAGCACAGGGGCAGGGGTGGGGACCCTGAAGGGTGGGACTCAGCTGGTGATGACTGCTTCCTGCTGGGGGCACTCCTCACACCCCTGTGCCCGATCTGGCACCTCCCCCAGCGTTCCCCAGCTTTCCCCGCTGAGCTTCACCAGGCCCACTCTCTCCTAGACCCGGGAGCTCTGAGGCAGAGCTGCGCTTTCCCAGGACTCTCATGGAATCCTCCAGGCCCTGTGGCCGCAGCCTCCATCCGGGTGCTGCAAGGAGCCCCAGGACCACCCGAGCCTACTTGTGTGGTTTGCACTGATTCGTCCCCTCCATTCAACAAGCATTTATTAAACACCTACTATGTACTAGTGCTAGATGTTAGATGTGCAAAGAAGAGGACCCTTCTCATCTCCAAGGAACTCACAGGCTAAGCATCATTATAATAAAATATGCTAAGGGAAGCTATGGATGGATTCCTGTAGGGGCACAGGGAACTGTGAGCCTGACTCAGAGACAGCCTCGCAGAGGTGACCTTTAACTTTGAACATGACAGAGGAGTCGGGGATTGCATGTGGAGAAGGCGATGTGTGTGGGAGGTTGCAGGTGCAATCTGTGTGACGTGTGTCACGTGTGGGGTTGTGTGATGTGGGGAGGAGTTTTCTTGGTGTAAGTTTGGGGTGTCTCTTAGGATTTACATTTTACCAAATTTGAAACAATAAGGGATCATCATGCCCATTTTTAGGGAGCACCTCCAAGGGCCCCAGTAATAGGGAAATAAAACTCCTTCAAGAAGTTCCAGTGCTACAAGGAGATGAGGGTGGGGTGTTTGGATGACAGCGCAGACCCGAGCCATGACTAATGCCCGGCCGTGGTTTGTGCACCGTGGGTGCGTTCACACACTGAGGGAAGTCGGATGTTGGCCAAAAAGTGAAAGAAGGTGAGGTGGTTGTATAGCAAGTCCTCATTTATCCAGAGGAAAGCCATATTTATTCAAAAGTGACTGCACAACACCTCCTACTTCCCCTGCTGGCTACTTGGTGGCATGTGGTGCCTGCCACTGGGTTCCCTACAGGTCTGCGACTCACTGCAAGTGGCCTGACCACCCCTGGTCTCACCTAACTCTCTCTTGCTGCAGTGACACCTGACAGCAGTTGGGAAGTGGGGCAATCTCTTCCAGGTGGGCCTCTTCCCCATTCTTTGCACACCCCAACTTTAGGAATACCTGTCCAAGAACCTGGGAGAGACAGGCTGAAGCAGTTGTGCCCGTTTTTTCAAGATGCTCTTCTGGGCTGAGTCTTCAGTTCAGCTGGGTGTGGGGAGTGCAGGGAATTAACAAAAATCCAGGAGGGAGAAAAAGGGGGAAAGGGGTGTCAGGCCCCTGGTTGCAGAGAGCCCCCCTGAGGGGGTTGAGAGCGTGCTTTTTGCTCACACCCATTCTGTCCACCATTTGGATCACCCAGACTGGGAAGCCAGTCAGGGTCTGAGCACAGACAGGGAGGGATGGTGAAGGTCAATCCAGGGGCAGCCCGGAAACAGGGAGTTGACATTTCTCCTCTGGTGGCTGCCTCTTGGGAAATCCTGAAGGTCAGAGTTGGGAGGGTGTCTGGATAGAATAAAGACATTTCCCTAATGTCATTTCACACACCTTCATGACTTGGGGTATATCTGTGTCCCACATGGATTATTACCTTTTTAAAAAATATTTATGGATTATTACATTTTTAATCAACCTTTTTTTTTTTTACCTAAAATTTATTTCTATAGGAACTTTTATATGAATGTCATACCTATGAAATCACAGGTTCGACAGATTGGTTTTATTTTTTGTACATCAACATAAAAACATATTTATTCAAGGCAGAGCAAGTGTTTTGCCAAGTCCCACGGTAAATGGTCTCACAGGGTAACACTGATCAGGGCCTGTGCTCTCAGAGCTGCCTCTGGCTCCAGCAGTAGGAGGGGTGTGAGTTGCTCAGCCCCTCTTCAACCAGAGCGACCTTCTTTTAATCTAGTTTCTATGTTGGGGTTGCACGTAGAATTTTTATAACAAAAATAATTCAAAAGCTACAAAAATAATCATCTGAAAACTGGTCTAGCCCAGTCCTGCTCACCATGCAGATGAGGTACCTGAGGTCAAGAAGAGAAGTGGTGCCTGACCTAGAACCCAGGTCATCAGGCCCCAATCCTCCCCAGAGACAGAGGGAAGGTGTCTCCATTCGTTAAGGAGACACATTCGACTTGTGCCTGGGAATCGTGAAGGGCCATTCTGGGGGGGTTGCTGGAGGGGCAAGTGTGGGGATGAGGGGTAAGGAGAGATGGGGTTTGGGGGTGGCAGCAAGGGCTGGGGAGCCCCTTTGAGAACAGCAGACTTGCTGCACTTTTCCCTGTTCCCTGCCTTCAACCAGCCTGCTTCCCACAGAACGGGCGTTCTCATTGTTGATCTGGTCTATGGGACCCTGCCCCTCAGTTTGCCCTGCTTCCAGCTAAGACCCATGTAGGAATTTGTGGGAGCCTCACAATTAGCCAGCCCAGGGGCTGCTGAAGGGGGTGAGTAGGCCATTCCCTTCACCACCCCAGTAAATCCACCCAGTGGACTGTGCCCTGTTGGCAGCGTCAGACCAGGAGCCCCCCTCCTCCCTCCACCCCAGCCCCTTCTCC